CAGAAGAAATTGTGTTCATCTGTAGCTCTTTTTTTTTTTTTTTTTTTTTTTTTTGTTTTTTTTGAACTAACAACTAAAAGTGTTTTAAACAAATAGTCGTACTATTTTATATGTTTGTCTGGTATTTGGACATTTTTAAACCCACATAAAACAATGTATGGATAAGCATGCAAAACTAAAAACTACCGTTTGTCATGATAGGAGCTGTGCCCTTGTCTAGGTATAATGCCTTTTATAAATGTAAACTCTGAGGTCACAAAATATCTGATATTTTCTTTGTCAGGCTCTTAAGTTGGACTTATTCTGACTTACCCAGATATACTAATCTCTCTTAGTTATCTTCAGTCATGATTCTCTCTCCCCTTTCTTCTTGAAAGAGACTATTATCTCTGCATATTGTGACATTAAATGTCGATTGTCTCTTCTGTGCAGCCAGTAATATTTAACTAAATTAGTTTTATGTATTTATGAAGGGGATTTTTGACTGGGAGATACAGTATCTGAAGGACGATCTCTTCTTTCGAGGCTATACTGTATGTTTGAGACTCCAAACTATTATTGTGCAGTGAGCCATGGCACCTGTCTGTATCCACTGCTTTAAATGCATTTATCAGACTGCCTAAATTGCATCATATGTTATCCATGTTCTTGCATGTTTCTCCAGATGAAACCTTTTGCAAGTCTTTAGCTGTACCCTGAGGGCCACCTTAGATCACTGATTTGATAATTATATGATATCAGTCTTAATGTCTCTCCCCCTCTTTTAGTTAAACTGGTGGTGCGCTGGGCTGACATCACCCAGCTTGAGAAGAGCGCCACCCTCCTGCTGCCTGACATGATTAAAGTGAGTACCCGCACCAATGAGCACATCTTCTCCGTCTTTCTCAACATCAACGAGACGTTCAAACTGGCTGAGCAGCTGGCCAACATCGCCATGCGCCAGCTCCTGGACAACAAAGGCTTTGAACAGGACCGCTCGCTGCCCAAGCTGAAGAAGAAGTTGCCCAAGAAAGTGTCTGCACTCAAGAGGTGAGAAAGAATTCGTGCAGAGCGGGAGCACTTAATGCTCATTAATAATAAATGCCACTTATACATGTTTACGAAACACGGTCGATTTAAATGTTGGTGTTATGGTTAGCAGAGTAGCTGGTTATCTGGACTGTGTCCCAGTTACAGTTGACTGCAAAAGCCTCCCATGTTTGTGGAAATACAAGTGCTTTGTACGTTTGAGTGGCCTTAAAAATGATCTCAGGATCCCAGTTGTTTGGTCAGCATATCTTTTGTAAGCATGACCTGGTTTCTGCAGCAAAGTGTCATTATTGTTTCAGGGGCTGTATGATGGTTGTTTTGCTGTGTCTCCACAGAAACATTGTTCTCGGTGTAGATTTGGTCATTCATCCAAGTCGTGTAACAGATTTATAAAACTCCTGGAGCTTAATTGCAAATTTAACAGCATATATTGTATAGGTTTAATTTTGCATTAGATTAGGTATCGTGTTTTAGGGATATCACTTTTTTTGGATTCTAGTAATGTCGAAGCATTGATGACAGTTTCAGCCTCAAACCAAGCTCTTGCATTATGTGTTTACAAAGATCCTAAAAAACTGACTCTTCATTTTCCACTTTTCAGGGATCTGGATGCAAGAGCTAAGAGTGAGCGTTACCGGGCACTCTTCCGTCTGCCCAAAGATGAAAAACTGGACGGGCACACAGACTGCACCCTGTGGACCCCCTTTAACAAGATGCACATCCTGGGGCAGATGTTCGTTTCCACAAACTACATCTGCTTCACCAGCAAGGAAGAGACGTTGTGTAGCCTCATCATCCCCCTACGAGAGGTGGGTTGTTCTATCTGTTGCTCATAAGACAAGATTTTACAAGCTAAAACATGTGAAAGAAGTATTTTGCTCATCACCGCCATCAAAACGACAGCCAGTCACTAACTGATGTAAATTGCTAAGATGTGAATGTGTGATGATGTTTGCTGGCAGAGGGTTGTCACTGCCCATCTGCTTTAGGACAAGAGAGACACATACACATGAATTTCAGCAGTCAAGATAAATCGCATTCATCCATTTTAGATTCACAGACAGCTCTGGATTGGGTTACACCTGCAGTTTGAAATCTATCTCCACTTCTGAGTGCAATATCATTGCTTCTCTGTCTAATGGCCAGTTTGTGTCATGCAAGCCATTTTCATTATTTAGCTAATGGTGACTGACTGAATGTTCGGTGATGTCTTTCAGGTGACTATTGTGGAGAAAGCAGACAGCTCCAATGTGCTGCCCAGCCCGCTCTCCATCAGTACCAAAAATCGTATGACCTTTCTGTTTGCTAACCTGAAGGACCGAGACTTTCTTGTGCAGAGGATTTCTGACTTTTTGCAGCAGACCACCTCCAAGATCTACGTAGAGAGGGAACTTAATGGCAGCCTCAATAGCTCAGATGATGAGGTAGGAATTATTCGAGTACTTTTCTGCTGAGAAATTTAATCCACAGTTTTAAGCAGAGTTAAACAACTAGTCTCCTCTCCAGGTGTACTCCCAACATGGATCCCTGCTCTCCAGCAGCCCACAGCACAGTTTGGGTTCAGAGGGCGAGCGTACGTTCAACCTGAATGACAGCAGTGTGCCCACCGCCACACAAGCTCTCATGACCATGTACCGCCGTCGTTCGCCTGAGGAGTTCAACCCCAAGCTGGTGAGTTAAATTACACTTTGTGTAGTACAGTTTAAACCATTTATACTCATCAAGGGGGGCACGGCATGTTGTAAGGCCTCGTGCTAATACTCTGATCTGCTGCCTTTGAAGGTGATTTGTATGCCAAGTTATCCCATTGTACATTTTTTTTTCTTGTTTTTCATTAATAGCATTCACACTATTAAACTGCACAGATTAAAAATTTGCTCTGCACAGAGTTGGTCTCACCTGCTGGTGTTAATATTAAAAACGGGAATTGGGGTAAAAATTGTAATTGTATTAAGCTACTTCATCTCACTGTTTCCCTCTTAGGCTAAGGAGTTCCTAAAGGAGCAGGCGTGGAAGAACCACTTTGCCGAATACGGACAGGGAGTGTGTATGTACCGCACTGAAAAGACAAAGGAGCTGGTCCTCAAGGGGATTCCTGAGAGCATGAGAGGGGAGCTCTGGCTGCTTTTCTCTGGTGAGGAAATGTACTGGGAGGCCTGAAATCAACATGAGCACAAGCCAGTCTGAGCAATATGCACCGCAGATGATTCAGTCATACACTCTACGAGACCACACCCTGCACACTACGTGTTCACACTTGATCATAGCCCCACATGGTACATTTCGTTCTGCAGGTGGAGTTTATCCACAGACACCCTGTTGTGAAACGCACAATGCAAGAAACAAGCTTGGAGAAAGAATTTCAATAGTGTGAGCTATGAATAAAGCTTCATTTGTCAGTG